ACTTTCTAATCACTGGATCTACTCACAGAGCGGGCTATTCGACTCGAAACAAATATTTACAAACAAGGCCAGGATATAGTCGGCGCCTATGGAAAAACCCATGGGAATCCCTGGCGCGGCGATTTTTTTTTTTTAGTTTCCAAAATAACTTTTTATTGTACGAATATCATGTCCCCCCCCCCCTTTTTTTTCCCCCAAGTTTTCAAAGGATAATGAAATCATTAAAATTTAAATAAAATATTGAAGTAATTTTTATTATTATTAAACCAAAAATTTAAAAAGAAAAGGAATATCGAAATAATGATTTGGTCGCCCATTACATTCGGTCGCCCACGTGCAATGCATACATTGCACAATAGGTAGCGGCTGCCCTGCATAAATGTAAGTGATTTAAATAATTAGATTTTTCGCTTTCAGAAAAGAAAAAAGTAACCATTGCATCAGAACTCTAAATGGTCATTTTTCATTGATAGAATTTCATTCTGATCTTCTTTCTGAAAATATTGAAACCTGCCTTTTTACAAGCCTGGGAGGACCACTTCGTGGGCTGATTTTGAGTTTGTGTTTCCACACAAACTGTCTTTGTAATCTTGTTCTCTTTAATTTCAATTCTAGTTTCAGGCCTGGAGAAAAAAATGCATTTTCCGAAAACCTCTATCGACCTCAATCACCAATCGTAAACAAACAATATTTACCCACGTGGTTCTCTATCTTTTCTATACAAATTACGTAATCACGTGACAGTTTTTTTTCCATTGTTTTATCAATATTATCACGTGGCTCAATGTTGTTTGTTTACGATTCGTGAATGAGGTCCATTGAATGCCATATTCCCTTTTCCACATTTATTTTATTATTTGGTTCTTTCAATACAAAAGTCTAAAACACAGACTAAATTCCCCATTTTGATGAAACTATTTAAAAAATTAAACAACGCATTTGGGTATATTAAAATAATTTTCTAAAATGTTATTTAACCTTCGTTAGGTCAGTAATAGAATATGCATCCTCTGTTTTCACATTTGACTAGAGTGTCACTAGAGTAACAACTTTAGTAAAATCACAAAATTTAGAAAGTCTTCAGGATAAAAGACTGAAAAGTAAAGTAGTAATTATACATAATTGTTATGGACCATAATCTTCAAATACAAAAACAAAATCTAATAAAATATGCTTGACTTTAACCAATCAAATCATTTCATGTCAGATGTCACGCTAATGATTGACACGTGTCAGATTACATCATGGGGAATTTTGACATTTGACGTGCTGTACAGGTATAGATATGTTAAGTTATTTAAACTAGGCTTTGGTTTATTAAATTGATTTAGAATTTAGAAAGTCTTCAGGAAAAAAGACTGAAACGTAAAGTAGCAATTATACATAATTGTTATGAACCATAATCTTCAAATACAAAAACAAAATCTAATAAAATATTCAAAAATACACAAGGATAATGGCACATTTCTCGTTCCATAAGCTAAGACAAATTAGTACAAAGGCTTCTTCTTCCTTAGTGCTATAAAAGCATGGAATGGGTTGACTGAGGCAGCCAGAAAAATCAATGACTTGTCAGAATTTAGGTAATTGGTTGACATGCATGGCTATATTGACCTAGGAACACGATTGCGGCCTTTTGGGGGAAATAGCGGAAATAAAAAAGCTTGTGCTTTTTCGCAAATTGTGGTGTATATCGAATTCGGTTTCTAGTGAGCGTATATGAGTATAAAGAACCTGTGTACAAAATTTAATGCAAATCAATGTGTCAAATTCTCTCAGGTTTGTACAAGCACCGACTAACGTAAGCTACTATACATACTCTCTCAGCTCCATCTACCTTTTGAGACAAGACGGCGCCTTTTCTGCTCGCATCGGTACCCCGAAAAAATAGCGCGGACAAAATAGGCCGACAAAATAGCTCAGAAAAATATATTTCAGTCAGTTTGAAAGAAATACTTTAGATATCGTAAAATTTGAATAGAACCAATATTATTTTTGTTTTATTGTAAGCATTACTTTTCAGTCATTTTGCAGGAAACACTTTAGATATCTTAAAATATAAATATGCAAACATTGAGCAAAAATTATAAACTAAAATGAATAATTTAATCAAAATATAACATTTTTTTACATTCCAAAAATTTACTTTGAAAACAGTCAAAGATACTTGTCAGATTTATACACACACACACTTTTTAAATTAAGTTAAATTGTAGGAAAAGTCACTTAGAAATTCCATCACTGCTTGAACGGGATCAACGCATTTCAAAATCTTATTTTTGGCAAGTTATGTATTTTAAACATTGTTGAAAAGGGGGAATGGTGTGTCATTATCATTTTTAAAAAGCCTGACCTATGCGGTTCTCCTGGACGATTCCACACCTGTCAACTTTAACCTGGAGGCAAAATTAATTTTCTGCTGTGAAAGGAAAACCCTTAGAATATATTGGAAATGTAGAGAAATAGACCATGCGCAGTACCGTTACAGTAGTTTTGCAGAAAATTTAAAAATAAAGTAGATTTTAATTAATTAATAAGTCACTCTACTACTCTACTCTTCGCGCTATTTTGTATGTGCTATTTTGTTATCGGATTTCTCGATAAATAAATCACTCAGTGGTTGGTCGAAACTTACAAATATAGTATACAAATATAACATAGATTTCATGAAAATGACCTACAAACGAGAATTTCGCTAAAATATGTCTGTTGAAGATACAGAATTTAACTCTTTCTCTCCTAATTAACGATACGATCTCATTATCTCTTTCTGGTTTTATAAACTTTGTGTTATATAAAAAGAGCATGCATTCTCTTAAAATTCTATTCTGTCAGAACGAGGGAAAATACTTACGGAGATAAAGAGTTAAGATCTTTATTATCAGGACATCAGTCAGCCTTAGCACAGCCTCTCCTCTTTCCGTAGACTTGGGTTAAACTCCGCTGTATCTTGTAAGATAAGATAATGTCAACATCCCTTCTAGGTCTAGTCTCAGACAGAGCACGAGCCAAAGCCAAGGTAGCGTTATAACGGATTGATACCATCGCCCCCTCCCGACCCCACCAATCGGCCAACATACTAGAGGGGGGGGGGGGCGAAATAATCTAAAAATGGGTTGAAATATAAATAATTAGTATTTATTTTTAACATAAGTAATAAATTCCTATACAAAGTGTGTGAATTCTATAATAAAATTCGCCCGCCCCCCCCCCCCCTTTTGGATCCGCCAGTGTGTGTGTCACAACTGGATCAAGCTGTTATCCCAGAATGTGAAAATCTATTACATCAACCATTCGTAAACTTTTTTTTAAACCCCAGAATGTACATAATTTAAATCAACGAATCTTCGTATCGTAAGGTTTGTTTGTTTTTACAAAGCTTATATCAACTCATTCTGTCTGTCTGTGAGGTAAAGAAATAAATAATTGTAGCCTACACGTTATTTCTCCTACACCCGATCTCGGATCCAGCTGAAATTTTGCACAATTATTTCTTTTTTTTAAGTTGACCAATTAGTTAATGAACTATTGGTATTTAATTATTTTGTTTGTTATCTTTAACAAGAAATTGTAGTTAGTTGAAGTGGTTGTTTATGCTGAACTAGTTCCCTTTATAGGTCACCTCTTTAAAGTAAAGAAATTACGGTAAAATTCCCAACTCGTCCAGATAAGTGATCGAATCAGGGCCTATTGACAAAGTTAAAAGCATGAAATTGAGTTAAACAAAAACAATTGGTTAAAAATATTTCTAATCACACAGATTTTTTTAGGTCTAGATCTCATACAAATGTAATTACCTGACTGATCCAAACTAATTAATATAGGTTTTCTTATTTCAATATTTAAAAAGAAAATATTTTTCTTGTTTTTATGTAGATTTTTTTTTCAATTTTTCTAGCAATTACTGCATTACATTAGATACTGGGTCCTGGGTCTGATTTTTCTCCTTATTTAAATAGAGGTGTGACATTAGCTTCTTTCCAGTCCCTTGGTACTCTGCCCTGGTTAAGAGATGCCTGAAAAAGTATTTTGAACACTGGGGCTAGCTCATTGTTTAGTTCTTTGAGTAATCTAGCTGGAATACCATCAGGTCCAGATGCTTTATTTGGTTTGGTGTTGGCTAATAGTTTTTGGATCCCCTTTTCTATGTTGTCTACTTGGTTCAAATTTATAAGTAATATGTCTTTGTCTCCTGGGACTGAGAATGCTGATGCAAAGTATTTGTTTAGGATGTTTGTTTAGTTTCATTATCATTATGTATTATGTTATGTTCATCTTTTAATGGCGATATGCCTGTTGTTTTCATTTTCTTAGACTTAATGAATGACCATAGGTTTTTGTTATCTTTAGTTATTACATTGTTTATGTATTCACTCTGCAGCTGTCTGCTTACTTTATGGGTTAGGTGTTGTTTTTTTTTTGTAGTGTTGTGGCCTTGCAAAGAGAAGACTAAACTATTTTTAATTAAGTAGGTCTAGATATTTTACATACTATTTTCAAATTCTGTTATAATGCATTGGCCTTAAAGCAAGCAAAAGGTTGTTTGTTAAACTGCTCACTGTCACACTTTCAAGAGGGTTAAAAGTATAGAGTGTGTTAATGACTAAGTTAATAGGTCAAGTGTTCATGGTCGGATTATTCCAGATGGCCTTCAAGAGATGTATTGGTAGACAGAAGAAAAAAAAATACAAGGTTGAAGAAAAAGTGAAGAATTGTTAAACTATCCAGAAATCTATTGAGCAGATTATACAAGGAAAGCTAGGCTAGCTATCTGGGTCCTTGGTCATTCATTTGTTTTATGAGGCTTTGTTTTAAAGCTGTATTACTTGTTTTATTGAATTGAGTTTGAAAAAATTTAACTTAAAAAAAAAAATACTGTATTTCTTTGGTGTGTTTAGAGACACCTAAACTGTATTTCTTTGGTGTGTTTAGAGACAGCTGCGAACTCACTAATGTCATATAATTACTCATTTTTTATTATTAAAACAGAAATAAAGTCATTTTAAATTGAAAATTTTTTATTTTGAATTTTGATAAACAGATAATTTGCTACTTAAAACATGAATGTTGGGACAATGTCAATAGAGACCACAAAAACTCACATGATAGATCTTTCAACAGCAATGACATGAACACATTAATGAGTTAAACACAGTATCAACACTACTTCAAGCTGACACAGTTCATCTTGTGTGTGTGTGTGTGTTTTGTTTACAATAATAGAACAACAAAATAAAGCTGTCATTTAATCATACTGTAAAGTTTGTAATGAAAAAAAAAATATTCACAACAATTATCTCAAAAGGATAAAAAATATTTAAGTCAAAACTTATAATTTGGGAAACCTTTAAAAAAAACAACATAAGTATTAATCTAAATGTGTTTCAGCCTTTAACACTTAAAAGAAAAACCAACGACGTTTTCTTTTATAATTAGTGAAATCAAAGTATGTTCCCGTCTTGAGACAAACATAGGAGCAATAACAAAATATAAAAATTTTATCTCAATGTTAGGGTTGAACAAAAAAAGTCAGCAGTTTCAATTATTAATCATCTCTTCAATTATTAATCATCTCTTCAAGCCTAATAACTTTCTGAGGTGTATTGTCTGATTTAAAGCCTAGCCTTTGCAGTCAAATGAAAGTATCTTATTAACTGGATTCACAAAATTTGACTCTCAATAAGACCAGTTTATTTAAATTTCATTTAAAATAAAAAAAATTGTAATATTCAAAGAAAAAAAGGAATTAAATGTCATGAATTCTAAGCATTTCATCCTCCTCACCCACAAAATAGATTTAATTTCTAAAAATGCATGTAAATATGTCTACTGTGTTGCATACCAAAATGTATTACAATAAAATACTGACATAACAACACATACTGAAATTAGATATACAATATGTAAATATATTAATTTTTGTAAATGTATTTTTGCTATACTTTGAAACAGTAATAGCTTAAAAGTTCATTTCTGTCGTTTTTAATTTCATTAAAAATATAAGACAAAAAGGGAGAAGATATAATAACTTTATTATCCTGGAGGAAATGACCTTACTTGAAGAATAAGAGAACACAAATAGGCCATTTATCTCCCACCCCTCCCCCACCCAGTTGTATACATACTAATACCATGACCCCAACTACACCATGTGAATATATTAACATATTCATAAACAGTGTAACCTGGTCAGTTGAAACCTGAGGGGCATTCACACTAACTTCTTGTGCAACATTTAGGATGCATGCAAAACAAAATTTAAAAAAATAACAATGAAGAACATAAACAGAATGGCCCTAAATGAACTGTACTGTTCAATGAAATGAATGACACTTAGTGACTTTCTAGCTTGCTTCAAGGAACTGTACATATGAATGTGACAATAAAATCTCTGTATGGGTCAATTCACATTTCACTATAACTTCACACTACAACTCAACAGAAAAATTAACAATGGAAATAAACACAAAGTTTCACTACATGAACAGGTACAAAATTATTTTGTCAAGTTACAACTATTTGATCCCAACATTATTTCTTCTAAAAACAAGTTTAAAAAACCAATGCTGGGTTTATACTGTAACATAAAAACCTAAACACTGATTGAGTTGTCTCAAAACCATAAAATAACAAATGCAAGTAGTAAAATTGAAAACACAAAAAAAATATTTTTGTTTTGAGAAGTAGAAACTTAACCATTATACAACACAAGATACCTAATGGCAACCTGGTCTGAATTGTGAATTATGTATTCATTGTGATTGATCTTAGCAGGTGGCTGGTAACTCATTGGTATCACTTGACCTAGGGATAAGGTGGCTCCTGTGAAAAGAAAAAAAAAGTTAAGAAATAATAAAACTTCAGTACTCTTAGTTTAATGTAATCCCAGTTCCACAAGCTTCCCCTTCAAGACATTCAAGATTAATTTGTAAGGTGAAAGTTCATTGATAAGTTTGATAACAGACAACTTGTGAGAATTATAATAGTTCTAATTTTATCCTTTCAATAGGTGCTGGGTCTACCTACTTTAAATATTTCCATTATTACAAATGCAGATGTTTTCTTTATTTTTTTCCATTTGATACAAGGACAGAAAAGGTTGAACTCAATACATATTTAGTGAGAGTGCATGTTATCAAACATTTTCATACTTCTATAAAAGTTAATGCAGTAACAGCCCTGGGCTCCCTGTTTAATACAATCCTTTAATAGGTGCTGAGTCTGCCATTTTATGATGGAGCATTTTAGCATGTCTTGTGCCAAAAAGATGGAGCACTATTTCCAGACTAAACAATTCTCTTACAAAATAATTCCTAACAAATAAACTAATTACTTTACACACACAAAAATATATATATTATTAGGAAGAAATGAATGAACTAATACAATCTTATGGAATTTATTTGAAATATTAACATTTATTAAAATAAGCTGAGCTAATTTGCATAATTTATGCGCATAAATTTCCAAAAATGTTTTTTCAAAACATAACAGAATTAAAAAGGTTAGAGTTTTTAAAGAAGTTTTAGGGAAACAAGGCACATGGAAACCCTTCAGACACTTCTATCACACTATTTTACTGCTTTTCTCCCCACTCCCACCCCCCAGGTACCATGGAAACAGATACCTTCATTTTTGCCACAGTGAAAGTCACACATTTTTGACCCAGGGATCATTTTTTGAGCTGTTCGTTTGTCAGAAAGTTGGCATCATATTTATTAATCTCCCTGACAAACATTAGAACTAAACTGATAGTAAAAAAAAGAGCATAAAAAGGTCTATGGAGTGCTAATCCCTTGGTGCTTAAATGGGTCTTCTCTATCCAGTTCCTCACCCTTACCCCTAAACCCTGTTACCACGAAAAGACATCATCAACACATACTAGATCTAGGTCTAGTACTAGTGTAAACTTAGATCTAAAGCTTTCCTCAATGATGCCCTGATTTTTATTATGGCTATCATAGTTAAATAAAATCAAAGTCAGTGAGTTTGCTTTCAACAATATGACCGGCTGACACGTTAAAATTTTTGCCTGTCACTAACTTCAAAAAATCAATACCAACAAATTTTCCAATGAAAACAGCAAAGGAAGCCACCATTACAGTCTACTAATGTGTAAAAATAGTAAGAATTAATCTGATCGACTGATACAAAACTGGCTAGCCAATACTTTGGTTGGAAACATTGCAGCCGATCTATCAGCCACTTCGTCTTTTTCGTCAAATAGCCTTGGGCCAATAGATCGGCCGCGTCATCTTAAGAAGGTTAAACATTACCATTATTACTACTATTCCTAAGCTACCCATGTATTATTTGATGATGACACTGAAGATAATTTTCCAAACATGTAAGTATGCTTCCAGTTAAACAACCACAGTTCATTGTCTTCATGTAGACTTGTATTGTAAAATATAAAAATCTGTCCTAGGGCCTCATTTCTTATTTTCAATTTGTCCAAAGAACAGTTTAAGTTGCACTCTAGTTTCAATACAATTTGAGCTTACCAAAAGGTAGTCTAGCATCAAAGTCCTCAAGAGGTGCATTTCTGCCCAGTATTTTTAAACTGTTTATGTCCTCATCAAGATGGTCCTCATCTCCATGCTTGACATCAATTTTGGAATTGCCTAATGCCACCTGGTGATATAATAGCCAATCCCAATTTTACAAAATGTATAAAACTTGACTGATTTAAAGTGATATCTACTAGACATTTAAATATCACAAGAATTTAACAAAAAAAACAAAAAAAAAACCCACTCACCTCACAAAGCAACATGAGCTTGCATTTTGATTTAGGACTATGATTATGACAGTAGTGAGAGCTTTTTAAAAATGTGTCAGCAAAGTATATACCCTGTCACAAAACACAAAAAACATTGAAATCAAGTTTCAGTTTTCAAAATAATCTAAATAATCAGAGATATTTGCTTTGTCACTCAATTCCACCCTCTGTTCTACATTTAATAAAGATGTTACCAGAGTAGCTATCACAATTCATACCTCTCCAAACAAATGACCTGTCCATGGCACCTCAGGTGGAGTGACCAGAAGACCACGAGATAATATAGAAATGAAGTTGGACATGCTGCTGCCATGCCAGAGGAGCTGGTGATTAGGCAAGTTCAAGGCTGCCAGTCTTGCATCTTCACCCTCCCTTGAGACTTTAAATATTCTGTTTATGTTGGCTGTTGGAACTGTTTTTAGAATGAAATGAACCAGTGTTTAAGATTGTGAAAATGGTTTCAGTAAGAGCACAACAAAAGAATGTTCTTATGGTCACAACCCTAAAATGTTTCTAAATGATACTTAAACACTCAAAGAACAATCTGAACTTAAGGGTTGCAAATGAGATTTTAAAATGACATCTAGAAATAGGCAAGAATGTTTTTCAAAGTTAGCTAATATTATTTACATTAAGATTACTGATAGTTTAAGAAGTTAAAAGCACCATAGAATTAATAGATTTCAATATATGAATAAGGCTAAAGATTTAAAGGCATTATTTATATGTACACTAAAACTTGATTTTGGTATCAAACATGGAGAACAACTGAAGCCACAACAAAAAAAAAATACAGACCTTCATCAACAGATGCCTGAGAAATATCCTAAAAATACACTGGTACGACAAAGTAGAAAACACCAAACTGTGGGAGAGGAGTGGACAGAAAAATATAGAAGTACAGATCTTAGAGAGGAAGTGGAGATGGATTGGTCACACCCTTAGAAAAGATACCAGCAACAGAGCTAGGCAGGCCTTAGAGTGGAACCCCAGGGAACAAGACGCAGAGGAAGACCAAAAGAACATGGCGAAGCATTTTATCTGAAGAAGCAGAGAAGACCGGGAAGAGCTGGGAAACCATAAAAAAAATAGCAAGAGACCGTGGAGAGTGGCGTGTTTTTGTCGAGGCCCTATGTTCCACAAGGAGTGATGATGCTGATGATACTAAAACTTGGGAGGCGCAGTGGCTGAGCAGTAAAGCTTCCAAACCGGGGTCCGGAGTTCAAATCTTGGTGAAGACTGGGATTTTTAATTTCGGGATCTTTGAGCACCTCTGAGTCCACCCAGCTCTAATGGGTACCTGACATTAGTTGGGAAAAAGTAAAGGCGGTTGGTCATTATGCTGGCCACATGACACCCTCATTAACCGTAGACCTTTACATCATCTTCCTTATAGACTACAAGATCTGAAAGGGGAACTTTACTTTTTACACTAAAACTTGAAGATTTTAGTTTTTATCAAACTAATGCTTAAGTTCTAGAGGAGAATAGAGCCAGACTAGTCTCATAAGTTATTT